GGGCTAAACCAAAGCAGTGAGTCCTAGAAGAACGAACAGACCTGCAGGAGTGCTGGGAGGCTTCAGAGCCCTGCAAGTTATTTTCTAAGGGTATTACAAAACCTGGGATGCCACTGAACACACACCTCATCCTGAGCCTGAATGAAGATGGAGACCTGGAGATAAGTCCTTAACTAGATATTGATCAGTGAGTGACAAGTGGTAAAAGGATCTGTGTGCTTTCACTGGCATCAACCTTTCAATCCAAAGACCACATTAGAATGAATTTCTATGAGTTGTTGCTCCTAGAAATCCAAAAGCTCATTTCAGCACCACTAAGTCCATCACTCTTCTTTTTCTCTCTCTGGTTTTCTGCTGCATATATCTGCTCTCAATCACAGCTATGCAATTCTTATCAGCTTGGGGGGAAATTGAAACGTCAGTGCTGGGTGAACGCCAGCACCTTTTCCATTGATGGCCATGTCGTCGGCTGATGCATATCACAGACAAGGCAAATATTTAGAGGGATATTATAACGGAAAACGAGCAAGGTGGAAAACATCTTTTTTTTCACAATATGAGGATATTCTGCTTCTGTTGCATGACATGTTTAATTATCCTTCATTTTTGCTGAATGTATCAAATATCCCATGTGAAGGATATTTTAGCTTATGCAATTCCCTAGAGTGCATAGATTGTTGCTCAGCTAGAACCTTTTCTTACTTTGCACTGCTTGTTTCTCAGGTTCGAAGGACAAAGTAACCATTCCAACCTCAAGCTTTCCCAGGCTTTCTGTATCTGACGGGCCGTCATCTCCAGCCTCTCCATCCTCTGTCTCCCTCTCTACCTCTGAACTGTCCCCATCTTCACCCAAAACAACTGCCCCCGATGAGTTCTCCGGGGGTGATCCCAGGGCATCTGGGTCCCCTGGCGCTGGGCAGGAGCATGGTAGGCAGGCTAACAGATCAAGAGGACAGCAGCTCTCTCACCAGAACCATAAGCGTACCACCAGCCCCAGCACCCAGACCAGAAAAACAAGCAGGAGCGACTCCAAGCCTGCTAGTCCCAAGAGAGCCACTGAAGGCTGGGCAGATCATGTAGAGCGCTCTCCGAGCCCCAGAAAAACAGAGCGAGGCCCCAGCGGATCACTGGAGGATATGAGCAAAGAGAGAAAAGCCCAAGGGCAGCGGGACCACCGCTCCTCTAGTCCCAGGAAGGGCTCCAAGAGGGAACATGACCCTGCTGTGCCTTTGAAGAACCTGGTGGAGCCCCAGAGTCCCAGGCGTCCAGCTGGCCAACAGCCCAGCGTTGCTTATGGAGAAGGGAAGGACAGGAGGTACAAGGAGGAGGATGCGGCCTACTGGCAGGAGAGGGGGCCTACAGAGAGTGGAGACAAAAGCTTGGGGACCAGTGAACGCCACAAGAAGAACAAAAGGGCCGAGCAGGAGGCAGCGGCACAAAAATCCCATTCCCAAATGCACAGGGAGAGGGCAGGGTCGGATGCCGATAGCGGCACCTTGAGCCGGAGGAGTGGAAGAGAGAAGGGGGATAAGGAATATCGGGAAAGCAAGTACCATGGGCCAACTGAAGAAGCAAATAGAAAGGACCCCAGAGGTTCGAGCAGTAGCATCCAGGACCCCAGCTGCAACGGGACCACTACCAGCAAGAAGGCTCCCATCACCCCTGGTCCATGGAAAGTTCCCAGTTCTGCCAAGATCCAGTCCCATGCGGACACAACATACGCGGATATCTGATCCTCCCAGGACTCTCTGGGATATTAAGAGAAAGCTGAGCCTCTGAAAGATGGACGTTCAAAATGGAAGGATTTTTTTTTTTTTTTGCAATCTCGGACAAAGCAGATCACTGTGTAACCAGCAACATAGCTTCTCATTGCTTAGGATTTTCTTTTAAATTTCACCCAGTTTGCCTCGGTCAGTTTGCATCAAGCTCCTGATGTCTGATCTGACATGCGTGCTTGTACCAACATGAGTATTTGTACTGTACGATGATGTTTGGACGTGTGTGTAACAGGTTGTTTCTGAGAGTGATTTTTGGATGTGACACTGAAGTCTATTTTGTGCCAATCAGGGACTCCGGTTATAAAGAAGCTGCTCTGTATTGCACTCACTGTGAGACTGTTTGTGGGTAATGAGATGAACCGCTCTCCCTGTTTATCCGTCTCAATGAAGGATTCTTCTTTTTTTTTTGTTGTCACTTTGAAGGTTTAAGACATATTCTTGCAATCACTCTGCTTTTATTTCCTGGCGAGACTGATTCACTGTTGCCGTCATAGATGGATGTACTAAAAAGTGAGGCTGGTGAGTTTCTCTTAAAATTGGCTGCAAAGGGTGACGTAGTGTCTACTAAGTCATTTATTGTCTGTATGTTTGAGTGTATTCGGACACATGAGACTCTCAAAACCTGTTTCCATTAGCCGAGAGGGTGGTCAGACAACCCTGGCGCTTTATATGCATCAATCAGCAGACCAGATACTTGTGGTTATAGTTCTAATGTTTGTTACATGTGTGTTAATAATAAAGCATAATGTAATTTATTGAAATTATATGTAAACAAAACTGTTAGTACACATCCATTCAGAGTCATTTCACTTTTAATGTGGACTTAATGATAGAAATAGAATGTGTCGACAAGCATCACCATCTATATATACTAACACTATACAAACGGCAATCTATACATTCTATTTCTAAGATTTCATGGTCTGTAAACGGTCACGTGAGCCTGATTCATAATGTTGTCTACTGTTAGCAGCTCTGTATTTAGGTCCTCTGGCTATGTGTGTATGTATACAAGCTAACTGGTAGGCCTACGTATTTTAGATATCGCTGTAGCATCAACTATACTTAATCCAAAATATTATTTAACAAAGCGATTACACATATATTGACACATAATTTAGATGAGTTGAATTAACAGAGCTTGATTGTAAGAAGTAAGACATCTGCCTTCAACTTATTAAAACTTAAAGAGGTATTTGTATTTTTATCATCACAAATGTAGGCACAAAAACATATTGTTTATCCTCACTCTAACCTCCAAATCTATCTTTGATCATTTTTTTTAATTTAGTGTGTGACCCTTAATGTGAGAAAAAATAGTATGTACATTTTTGCTTAGTTGTTAATCATTACCAGCATTGTGGCTGTCACATTGGTGTTAAAAATAAACTCCCTAAGAGTGCAGTTAATTTTCCACATAAGAGACAGTAATCGAAGTATGCTGCCCTTTGGTGGTTGCACACAGTGCATAATGTGAAAATGGCTTGACTGCTCCTTTGGGAGTCTCATTTGAACTTAATCTAACAGGGATTTAAATCCTAGATGAAAATATACATATATATTTTTTTAATTTATTGGGATCAGTTGTGCCCCGCTCTGAAGACAAAATTTAGTGTTGTTTCAGTGTTGCAGCTGTGGAGTACAGAGACATCTAGTGGTTCATTAACTGCTATTCACAATGTAGTCATTGCTTGAACCGTGCCCTCATCAGCCTGTTTAAGGATGTGAAGAAGTAACACATGCATCTATTGGTCTGTGAGACCACTTACTAATTTATTGTCCACTTTATTGTTGATATATGATGGGCTACTGTATTATTTACTGTTCATGCCATTACCATGTATGATACTGTGGCCTTGCATTGCTCCAACATATAAAAAAAAAGTCTTTTAGTTTTGACATCATGGTAGTTGTAAATGTTTATAAATTGTACAGCACCTGTATAAATATTTGCCTTCATGCAGAAAAAATCCTCTGTAAATCGTTTCATTATTTTTTTAAGGGAAGTGAGAGGAAATGATATAAAATGGGTGAAAAAGAAATAATCTGGTCATGGCATTCTGTTCATGCACTGATAAATAAAGGTTTACTGAATAAACATGACTGAGGTAGTTTCATTTTATTGCGGATTTAGGGAAGCTGGGGATATTGACAAAGTATATCCTACTGATCCTGTACTTATCAGTAGGATATACTGATACGGATACTGTACTAACAACATAGGCCTGTCACAAGATTCATGGGTTCCTTTCCGTCTCATACAGTTACTGTGGTGGGTGTGCCACTAAAGTCCTACCTGTCACTACAGATTCTCTTAAAGGGCTCTTACGTTCACGGTCATTCACGTTCTTAAATGATAACCAGGTCCCTGTATGTACACTGACAAAGGTTTTGCTTGCTGTCATTCATCTAGTTCATACTTGCCATTAAAGGATCCCTTCCTAATCCGCCTCCGATGTTAGTGACTGGGGAGAAAATCCACAGTCCTTGTTCTGTGCAAAAATATATTTCAAATTTAATGAGGCTTCAGCAGTCTGAATTTGTCAAATCAGGTTTTGTATTTCTGTGTTTGGCTGCGGTGGTGGAGGGTCACGTGAAGCGGCAATGCTGCACTAAAAAGACAAACTCTGGAAGATACTCACTTGATTTGTGTAACTCAGAGTGCCAAAACCTCATATTCACTTTTGATAAACTTTGGAATATATCTTTGCACATAACCGGGATAAAAGGAGTCCCACTTCACTTACATGGCACACCAGGAAGGACTGACCATGAAAAAATGTGACGCCATGCTTTAAATTGCCCTTGTTCTTGTCCTCCAGTACATCAGTAAGCTATAATATTTATATATTTAACAGTACTGTGTTGTGAAATGTGAGAACTTTGCCATTTTCTAAATCACTCCCTGTTTTTGAATGAACCACTTTGCACATAGATTAATGAAATGAATGAGACTAACAGCGCCACCCTGCGGGGAGAAGCGCTGCCTCTCGTGCCTCTAAATTCACCATGACGTCAGCTGAGCAGAAGTGAGTGCGTGCGAGGCAGCACGCATTCAGCCCGGTATGAACTCCAACTCCCTTGTAGCTCTGCGACATCAACAAACTACACTCCCCAGAGCTGCCTGCGTTACGCGTGCGCAACAGAGCCAAAACATTGACATAAACTACAAATTAACGGCAAGAGGACTACAATTTTTCGGAGACCTGCGCAGTAGGAATCCCGAGTCCTTTAAATGTACTGTACGTGCAAAGATGGCAGCTCAAGTCGACTTGCTCCGTGCGAAAGTAGAAGAAGAAAGGCTGAGGGACAGTCTTGAAAGATTCATTAAAGAGAGGAAAAGGAAGAAGAAAAGGGACTTGTCGCCGTCAGCTGACAAACGGGAGAGGGCTGAGAAAGAGGCGAAGAAAGTGAAGCTCCATCACCACCAACACGCTGAGCACCGGAGCCACCGGAGCCACCAGCCGCATCAGCTGCAGCCAAACCCCAAAGCCCACAACTTCAGCGCGGGTAAACATGTCCTGCACAGCCACAAACACAGCCACCACCACCACCATGACCACGGTCTCAGCAACGGCACGAAAAAGAACCTGGAGCCGACTCTGCCTCCTCCTCCTCCTCCTCCTCCTCCTCCTCCGCGGAAGGTACCAGAGCAGCTGCAGAAGAAGCGAGCGGTGCCCCCCGAGCCACCTGCGCTGTTCACTTTCACGCCTCTCAAAATGGTCAAGGCCAAGCCCCAGGATTTCAAAGAACAGCATCTGGATAAAGAGCTGAAACTGAAGCTCAAGAAGGAAAACACCGAGGCCAACGTGAAACACGCTGAACTGAAGAAAAAGAAGGGTGAGCTTTATTATTATTTATTCAAAGGGGGGGGGGGATTGGGTATTTCATGGGTTCCCAGAGTGGTGACCAGGGACCAGCATAAGTCTGTGACAAGCTGTTGCAACACGTGTACAGTTTTAACTCAGTAGGGTCTAGTGCTGTAACAGGGTCTACAATTATAATTGAGGTCATTGGAGATTTTAGTCTGTCTGTAACTTTTTACTTGCCCTCTTACAGAAGAGGCTGCTAATAGTGCCATTATAAAGAAATAAATAATATATCTCCTGAAAGTCTCATTCATTTCTGTTGTGCAGTCTAAAAAGTGTGACTCGTTTAATAGTGCATGACAATAGATGAGTTTGGTAGCTCCTGTACAGTAATGTTGTGAGACTGGGTAGCATGCCATTATGAATTAAACATACTAATTGAATGAATTATACATTGTTTAGAAAATAATCAGATGTAGTGTTGAACAGGGGCCATGGGACTAGATGCAGTTTCCCCACCTTTCTTCACATGTACCCTGCCCTCCTGACTTTTTCTCTATTTCTGTTCCTGTAGAGCCAAGGCCCCACAATGAGAATGTCAAGTCTCTAACACTGGAGGAATATCTCCTGAAGAAGAAAAAGAAGAAGAAGAAGCACCGCGAGGATGAGCACAGTGCCAAGAAGGTCCGATACATGCACAACAAAGCGGTTCAGACTGTATGTGCGGGGCTTGGAACCGACCTCACTCTGCCCGTTTGTCCTGATCCGTCTCTGCCGGGCGCCACGAAGCACGAAAGCAATCGCCAGGCTGTCAGAGACACTGTCGGCAACCACCAACCCTACCTCCATGCTGTCAAACTGGGACACGTCCCCTTCCTCTCCCACCAAGACCACTACATCCGCAGCTCCTGCCTCCAGACAGGCACCTGGTGTGGACGTTTCATGCATGAGGAGCGGCAAGCCAATGGCGGGGGATCAGTTCTGCATGCCTATGCTGATGAGCTAGCGAGTCTCAGCCCTGCTGAGATGGAGTGCTTTGCCCAGGAGTTTCTGGAGTTGGCCTTTGCTGAGAAGCCCAGAGGTGCAGCCTCCTATGCCTTGGCAGTGGTGCACAGCGCGGCCTCCTACCTGCCTGACTTCCTCGACTACTTCGCCTTCAACTTCCCCAACACACCAGTCAAAATGGAGATACTGGGCAAGAAAGACATTGAGACCACCACCATTGCCAACTTTCACTCTCAGGTATTTATCACATCCGAATTCATAGATCATAGGCACTGAGGAGAGCAGCGGTCATGTGGTTGGTTTGTTTAGATACAGTAAAAACAGCATCTACTCTTTCCGGGGTCCACATAATGTTTTAAGATAAGATAAGATGTTTATTTCTTAATAATTCTAAACCTTTAGCAGTAAACCATGACTATGTTTGGCTACCCCATTTCTTGAGTAAGTGGTTCACCTTAACGATTTATTTAAGCACGATTTACTACTTTCTGAGGTCAAAATCCTGGTAAGGAATTCAATGTCACCATTGCATGACCATTCACTGTTCTCTGTGATGAACCACTTCTACATGGGAGCAATACAAACCCTCAGACCTTGTAAAATAATGGTGTCTGTCTGAAAAGAGCAACAGGTTTCTGTAAAGTATCTCTGGAGATTTAGTTCTGATTATATTTCAAGATGGATGTTATTCATTGTAGCTACTACCCTTATTCTGTATGGGCACTGTCATGTGAGCTGGTATGCTTTGCGCTACCTGTCACCTGTTTAAATTGCTTTCTGTTGTATTTGTACATATTACTGACCAGTGATCTAATTGTGTTTAGACTAATGCTTAAACCAACTGTTTTATTAAATTACTAGGCATGAATTTCCTACAGTGTTCTGTAATTGTCATGCTTCTGCCCATTTTTGTCAAAATCATATCCACTCACCTGTCCCATGTTACTTCACTGTCAACTATAACACTCGATAACATTGTTGTCAGTCATTTGTTCAGTAACTGCTTGCCCCATAGTTAAGTGAAAAGAGGGCGTGATTCTTAACCTGTTTTGAACCAAACACCATATATTTAGCCTTTTTTGACCTTAAGAACTCATACACATTCTTTAACTAATTTCAATTCCTTATTCAAGACCTTTTCTAGTTTTCAGTTCCCAAATTTAGGTGCTGATGTATATATTGTGGAATCATCTGCATACGTTGCAATTCCATTGTTCAAAATTAATGGAAACTCATTTGTAAAAATGCGGAACAAAAAGCTCCCTTGAGGCACACCACTTTGTACTGCTTTTACCTCAGAATAACTACCATTAAAATATACTTTATATAAGATAACTTCTGATCCATGCAGCCCCCAAATGGTTAAAAGCCATAATAATCCAATTTCAGTGTAAGTTTTCACATAGAAAGAAATTTGCCTTGGAACATTGGTGCATAAGAATCTCAATCAAGCGTAGAAAAATATAAATAAAATAAAAAGATTAAAAAATAGAGACAATAAAAAGGAGCCACTATATACAAATATAATATTCTGTAACAACTTGATGATCAATTATATAATACAGTGTCAATGTCAATCAATGTCTTGATCAATCAGCCAAGTTACTCTTTCAAATCTGATTTAAAGTAGGGCTACAACTAATGATTATTTTCATTATCAATTAATCTGTCAGCTACATTATCATTTAGTTGATTATTTAGTCTATAAAATACCCATGTTGATTCATTCATTTCATTCATTCATGCTGATTTAGTAGAAATTATAGTGAGTAAAAAAACAGCAAATGTTCATATTTGAGAAGTTGGAACCAGAGATCTTTTGGTATTTTTCTTAAAAGAACATGATTAATGGAATAATCATTTCATTGCCATTTAATTGTCTAAATCAGAAAATGAGCAGTCCACTAAATGTCAACATTGTTTTCATATTGCAGGTAAAGTTAAAAGAGTGCATTGGCATAGAAAAGAATGCCCTCAGATAGAAATTATACTGTATTAAGGGTGCTCTCTAACGGTATTAAAAGCTGTGCAGTAGTTTCTCTGATAACATTGTAGCAAGGCACAGCAAATTGAAGGCCAACCCACAGCCCAGGTACACGTTTACCCAGTCTTTGACGCTGTCCAAAGTACACTGCTGTTTAGTCTAAAAACCTGTGGTGGTGCCAAGTGGTACCTGCGCTTAAAGAACGGAGTTGCTTTGGTTCTGTGATTATTAGAGATTATACTTTCACTGCCTGAGGAAGATGGCGGAGAGGAGAATGAATGAGCCCGGATTTGCATGTGTGATGTTAGATCTGCAGAGGACACAGAGAGCTCAGTGGCTTCTGTTTATGCAGGGAAAGTAAGACCTAGTTTGATCATTTCAACACTGAAGAGTCCAGAGAATAAATTGATGCTTTGAGAGCATAATGATTGGACTAAAATTCTTTGTTATATCTGCTGCACTTTTCTGGGTCAGCGCTGTAGGCTGCTGGATAGAAAACATGTTCTAATCACAGCAGTGTTCACATACCAGGAAAATAATGTTATGCAGATTCATGTAGCTTCAAAAATCTGCATTTAATATTATAAAACTCACCGGCTGTAGTCTGCAGCTTCTCTGCTAGAATCAAAGTGCAAATTCTACCTCTAATTTGAAGGATTATTTCAGACAAAAGTAATATTTTAATGCCTCTGTGGAGCAGTAATTTAGTTTTTTTGCTCAAAGTAGAACAGTGATGACCACTCAAGGAAGTGAGGACATTTTAGTATAGCATTAGCAATTATATCTTGTACTGTAGATACAGTATATCTACAACAGAGGCTAAATTGTCAAACTGACAAGAGCTGTGTATCTTTTGTACACTGCTTACTAAACCTGTGCAGGTTTTGAGTAAAAGTGACAAAACTAAAAATGCAAAACAGTCAGTATGGATACTTTTTTGTGTACACTAACTGTGAAAACTGTATAGTATGACAATTAGTATACAGTGTATACAGTTAGTGTGCAGTATCAAATGGGACACACTGAATGACAGAAGCTGTTTCTCCACTCCTAGGTGAGCCGGACTTACTGTTCGGGAACGTACCGGTCCGGACCCATGAGGCAGATCAGCCTGGTGGGAGCCGTGGATGAGGAAGTTGGAGACTATTTCCCAGAGTTCCTTGACATGCTGGAGGAGTCGCCCTTTCTCAAGGTCAGAGGAAGATTTATTTTGAAGGAAAAGTTGGTACTCTAGCTTACGTAAAAAAAAAAAAAAAAAGTTCTGTAACTTCAGGCCTGATAAAGTGTACTGACCCCTTGGCACAACAGTCACAGCCGAATGTTTTTGCTCTGACTGCCATCCATACCCTGTACACCCTCCTCTAGACCTCAGGCTAGAATCACTTAATGTGCTAAATTCAGCATGTTTCTGTCAGGAAGCTCATTAAGAAGTACAAGTACTACAGGCCATAATAACTCCGTTGCTAATGCATTGTTATTGCTGTAACATCTGTTCAGTCTGTTTGCATGTTTCATAAACAATATGTAAACACAAACTAAATAACATACAGTATTTTGTCATAATATGGTGGCTTGGAATCACATTTTTCATCATTTGCAGAAACATACTATTTCTGTGATTCTAGCATAAGCCCATGCCCACAGGTTTAGCCACATATAGTATACTATATTTTACTGGTGGGATCCCACTCTAAGCTTGTTTGTGGAATTTGGTTGAATTTCATAAAGCTAAAAATTACAGCTGTGTGTGTGTGTGTGTGTGTGTGTGTGTGTCACCATAGATGACCCTACCATGGGGAAGCCTCTCCAGTCTGAAGCTGGACTGTCGCTCTCAGAGTGACGATGGGCCCATCATGTGGGTGCGACCAGGAGAACAAATGGTACCCACTGCTGACATGCCCAAGTCGCCTTTCAAAAGACGCAGGTACAACCCCAGCTGCAGAGGAAATATAAGAACCCAGTTCCATATTCATAGATGATAGAATAATAATTGTAATGGGAAAACAGTTGAGTTTAGGCAGGACTGTGAGAATACAGACTGAAAACCTGTCATCCTGTGCTTCTCATATCCCCTTCCATCCTCACGTCTTTTTGTCTAGGTCCATGAATGAGATAAAAAATCTACACTACCTACCGAGGGCCAGTGAACCCAGAGAGGTCCTGTTTGAGGACCGGACTAAGGCCCATGCTGACCATGTAGGCCAGAGTTTTGACTGGCAGAGCACCGCTGCTGTCGGGGTACTAAAGGCAGTGCACTTCGGAGAGTGGTGAGTGTCTTCTCATATGCTTTAAATCTTCCTAATCACATAAGGATATGTGACGAGGAAGTAGTATTAACCTGTGTTTTATGGTTTTTATATTTTATTGCAGGAATAACCGACCTCGGATAACCAAAGATGTAGTGTGTTTCCAAGCTGGGGACTTCAATGAAGTTGTCCAAAGGCTGCAGTTGGATCTGTACGAGCCCCCAGTGTCTCAGGTGAGAACCAGAATTTTCATACATAATCCATTGGGACATGGGGAATATCACAGAAAAATTTTAAAACATGAACCACTGTGTATCCCACCTGCAGTGTGTCCAGTGGGTGGACGATGCCAAGCTCAACCAGCTGAGGAGGGAAGGCATCCGCTACGTCCGGGTCCAGCTCTGTGACGACGACATTTACTTCATCCCAAGGAACGTCATCCACCAGTTTAAGACGGTGTCTGCAGTCTGCAGTCTGGCCTGGCACATCCGCCTCAAACAGTACCATCCAGAGGAGAAGAACAAGGAGCAGGAGCAGCGGCCAAACGATCTCAGCCCCACCTCAGGCCGAGTCTCTTTTTCCTCCCCCGCCAGGCCTGACGCCACCGTAACCCCCTGTGCGCGACCACAGGGAGACAACACGCAAGGTGGGGTGGCAAAGACTGAAGAACCAGAGTTCCAGAGGCCGGCGACACCTCCCAAGGAGCCTCAGCCAGCCCCTCCACAGCCCACCAAATCTGCTCACTTACCCCCGACATACCAGAATCCCCACCTTTCCTTGGAACCAGTCCACTCTGGGTGTACACCTTCAAAAGAGCCCACTCTTCCAAAAGTTCTCGGCCACAATGCAGACTTCCCCAAATGACCTCCCGCCACCCCGCCACCCCCTCACAGTCTCTCTTTCTGCCCACTTTGGGAGGAGAAGGAATTGTCTAAAACTGACGTCTGTGTCAATCAGGAAACGTTTCAACTTAAATTATTCTTGGCTTTTTGTTGTCTTGGTTTAGTGTTGGTTAAAATGTTCAGCCAAAGTATACTGTTTAAAGGTTTTTTTGTGAGCATCGCAAGCCACCGTACTTTCTCCTACACACCTGGAATGAGAGGGTGAGGCAAAGGGATTGTAATCTGCAGCTACACCGCTGGATGCCACTAAATCATACACACTGGTTCTTTAATGTGACTATGTAACACATTTTTTTGTATTTGACAGCACCTGAACTGGAACTCTTTACTGTCTCATTCAAAAGGTGTGTACCATATACAGAAAGTAGTATTTTATAAGTTGCCACACTTACTGTAGGAGACAAAATCTTTAATTTATGCTCAAGGCTCAGCTGTTTATTTTTTGGCAGAATTATTTCATGGAAGATGGAAGTCGGTAGTTTTCACAAGTGCAGGTGGAATGATTGTGTACATACTTAATGTATGATTACTCTGGAAGCATGATACTGACATTATACTGTCGTATTCATTTCAGTGGCAGAGGCATATAGACTAACCTTACGCAGAAGATGCAGTTCATTTAGTTTCATAGACAGATTTTCTGTTGTCTGAAAAACTGGAACTTTTCCATTTTAGTCAAAATCCCGGCACATATTGGATTTCCTGGATTGGAGCCAGTAAGCCAGTAAACATAGGATAATCGCAAGGAGTAAATTGAAGTGTAAGGATGAGTAATTAAACTACAAACACGTAAAACCTTTTTTGTCAGCTTTTTAAGTTGCAATTTTTTATTTAAATGCCATTTTATACAGCACCCTTTTCTTACTGTTGATACTGTTTTTGATATTTTATTTATTTTCTTAAGATTGAGCTCAAAATATAAACACTCAAGTTTATAAGGTGTGATGAATATTTAAGATTATTATCTAATTATAGGGGCACCAATAAATGACGAAGGAATTTCGGCTATTGCGTTTAGCAATAATTGTCTGAATCTTTTTTTCAGGTGTGGAGTATGTCTTCAGAATTTGGTATGTAAATATTATGGTGTTGTATGTGAATGCTGTTTGTGCACTCAAGTCATTTTTCACTTCAAATTCATCTTCACCTTTAGTTTTAGCTGGTAATGTCACTGGGTTGTTAAAGGCACCATTGTAGAAGGTCACTGTGGTTTAGTGTAATGTGTGGATTTAAACTGCGAATGCCTCGAGTTTTTTCCAGCAAAGTCTGAAATAATGAAGCCTCCTACAAAATGATCCGAGGCTGAACTGTTCCGCAATGGAAGTGAATTTCACATTTCTTTCAAAAAAAAAAAAACAACAACTTCATATTGACCGTGGTTACCCAGAGTTTCTGATCAGAGATCTACAGTTCACCTGAACCTCACAGAGGCTTTCATTATGTGGTCTTCTACAAGCAGTTTTCTGTAAAGGAAGTGATGATGTGATACTGCCTTTGCTCTACCACTGACTACGTCTTAGTGCCTTGTACTGTATTCAATTAGCCTCATTTAAAACTGTGAGGTTTATTTGCTGATGAGTAGGATGGTGAAATGGGTATTGGCCAAGCAGCCATAGTGTATCTTGTTTCTTTTATTTAAAAAAAATGTTGCTCACATTCTTTTTGAATTCTACATCTGCATGTCACCTGGAAGCAAAATTACTACATCCTACTGTTATTGTAATTTCTGCCTTTTATACTAGATCCTATTCAAGAAGCAGGATGCTTATTTTTGTTTGTCAGAAATATGTCATAGGGTCTTGACTTAATAGCTCAAAGTAGAAATAAATTAACAGTTCCAATACTGTCACATCAGCCTTTTGTCATACTTGTTGTGATGCTCTGTGTTTAAGAACCAATGATTGCTGTTATTAATGTTTGTACTGAGATGATTTTAATACTTTTTGTCAGTTTCCTGAGTGATCAGTTAAACACAGTAAGGATCTGGTACTAATATGATTCAGTCTGTTAAGTAGGGGAAAAAATGCAATGAGAATGCATAGACTCCCTATATTTTTTAATAAATACATTTTTTGTGTAACCAGTGTAACACAGTTATATACACTTGTATCAGATGCATGTTCAGTATGCATCATGTTCTCTGTACCCAAAGACATTCTTTCCAAGAGGTTGATGGTTCTTCCTTTTTAAAAGATAATCCTTTTAAAAACTACAGATGTGTGAATTATGACTCAGAAACAAAACTAAGTATGGTTAACTGAATGATGTAAAGTCTATTGTCTTTATAACAGAAGAAATTACATGCTGATAAACTAAATGCAATGTTATACCCGTTTTCTTATTTCATATAAGAAGCACAAACTCGCAGATACTTGCATAACTAAATATATTCCTCATACGCCAACAGTTTAACAGCATTGCCTTGAGAATGAAAACAAGAAGTGTAAAACTTCTCACTGCAGACTGCTCGCTTCCTCAAACTAAATATTCTAGAGGCTGACTTTTTCTATTCAACATTCATTCAGTCATTGGTCCGAGTGGCTGTCTGTGGTGTTCGACAAGGCAGTAAAACATTTCCACCAAAGATGGTAACAAGGCACTTCCTGTACTCTGCTGAGGGTGCTACTGTGCTGTGCGAGACAAAGAGAAGCAGCCTTCAGTGCAGTATCTTCAAGGGATACTTGTGATAAACTTCCAACAGTCCCAGGTCTTTTAGCGATGCAACGTATCCTAATCATTAGAAGAACAGGTCCATTTTGTTTTTACATTCAGGGAGACCTCAAACCCAGGTCTGTGGATAACTCCTGGGGCCTTTTGGCTTTCCAAACCGGTTCCCAAATCCTGCGAGAGATGAAGATGGTGTCATAAAAACTGTATATAACATTGCAATGTATTTAAAAGTTGTATCAAAGTAGACGCAGGCCTACCAAATTTGAATAGTGAAGATGAGGCACCATGTAATGTAGGCGGTGTTCCAGGTTGAGTGGGAGGTGGTGGAGGAGCAGTTTTAGCTGAGAATATATTTTTTTTAAACATGTTAGTCCTTCTTTTCTCATAGACATTAGTGCATTTGCTGAAATGTAAATAACTATCACTTACGTTTTTGTTTGTGTCTAAAAAACTTAAGACTCTGCAATAAGGAAACAAAAACAGATTTAGTTGGCTGCACATCCTTTGAACTAATAACTAGTTGTGTGTAGCTCTTATCTTACCTTTGTTCTAGACATGCTCTTCTCGTTGCTTTTATCTGATACGTTTCCTGATGTCTCAGTGTTCAGAGAGAGCCTGTGGTTCACGTCATGCTGTCCCACTTGTGCTGATGAATGCAGGAACAAAACAAAAAAAATACAAAGTTTTTAAAATGTTCTTTTTCAAAATTCCCAGATGACGACCCTTTTCAAACTTTACTACATCAAGGCTTTGTAAGAACAAATAATTAACTATTGATTATTATTACTGGAATCACCACAGACATAGATGTGTGATGTTTGTGGTTGAATGTTTTTCATATGACACGGTCCTGCATGTGTGTCTAATAATAACAGTATGTGTGAAAGAGGCTACTGTGTAGTGTGCAGCCCCTTTTAATGTTTGAAGCTACTCACCACTTCCTCCTCCAGCCACGACGACAGGAGGTGTAGTGAGCTGCCGAACTGCAGTAAGGGGCTCTAAAGTAGAAATGCAAAGGTAAACTACCCCCAATATAGGAACAATGTTTTAAATTAATTATGAACAAACTTTTTTTTTTACTAATCAAGCATTCACATCTTGTTTTGGTAAAGGAGGCCTCCTAGTGGTGAAGATGTGTACTTCTAGATGCTCATTTTAACCTGCATGCTGTTGAGTATACCCAACAACCACAATGCAACTGTGCAGAATGTGATAGACTGGTGGATTACAGACAACAAAAAGATATTTGTTCACTGACCTAAAGCGCTACATTAAAGGACTGTCAACAAATTCAAGGAAAAGACAGAAACTAACAATTAATTATTCCTACAAAGTATTATTTGTATTATTGTATTATTAGCCTGATAGACATCCCTCTGTGCCATAGACCTCCTTTGTTCTCTAAAAGCTCACTGACATTTTCATTAATCAAGATAAACATTAACAATGTAGTTTAAGCTGAGTCAAACATTCACCCTCCTGCTGCTGTTAAGTCACTAGAGCACCAAATCTGTGACTGATAATAGAACCCAGCAAATGCACTGTTTAGTAACATTTGATAAAACAACAGTGCCGAGCTGATTTAGCCCTTTTTGAAAATGAAAGCAAATATTCATCATTCAATGTTTAGTAGGAAAGAACAGGCTTGGGCTCAGTGCCACAGAGAAGTCAGCAGGTTTAGAGATGTCAGGTTACGTAAAATGAAAGCAGAAGAGGAAAGAGTTTTCAGTAGCTTACCTTGTCTTGAACTTTTAGCTCGAACACTCTAGGGTGAATGATTGAAAGCAAAAATATTAATGCCTAACAAATGGAAACGTATGTTAATTACTTAATGGAAAAGCACTGAGGGGGGTATATGAATATGAGTCCGTGAGTGTTACTTTTTTTGCGTGCTCTCTGTAACCCCCAATTTCTTATTTATTTGATTTTCATTACCTTGCTCCTGTTCATAACAACATCAAGGAATTTCTTAGGCTGAGAGGTGCCATCCCACTCGGATGAGAAGCCTACCCTTGGTAAGGGCTGTGTTGTTTCTGAGGGCTGCAGGCAGAGGGCGGTTTGCTCATGAACTGTTGGAAAAGAAAACTTCACTTAGAGGACGAGTACTGTATGAGTTAAACTTTGTGTCTCTGTTGTAAGGAGGCCATGATAAACTCACTCTGTTCTGTGGGGAGGACGAAGGACTCGGGGGTTCTGTCAGGAAGGGGAGGAGTCAGCCTCTCCTCAGCTGCACAACCAAAGATAATCAACAGCAGTTAAATGTTACACATTTGTACACCTTCTCTTCAAATGACACATAGAGAAATGTTGGTGGATTTGCCTTTGGATAGTGAAGAATAATATCAAAGCAAAGATCAAAGTTAGATCATAATTCAAGTCTGGTCGGCTTACTTTGAGGAAGCAGAGGAGTCAGTGGGCTCAGAGGTGGACAGTAAGGGTGGAGGTTTGAAGTTGTATTTAAATCAAGATCAGGATGTGTTACTGGTGCTAGAAATGAAAATACAATACTATTGAAATGATCACAGATGTAGTTATTTCAGATAATGTGAGGGTTTTTTTGCAGGTGAAAAAAGGTACAGTGTAAATGTTACAACAGTTAATTTTAACTAATTGTCATATAATTGCATCCTATCATTTAACAGTCAGCTGGTTTAATTATCATCTGGGGCATATGCATTAGATCTGAACACTGTTACTATAAATAGCTTACCTGTGAAGGTCATTTTTGCTTTCATACTCTACAAGAAAGAGAGGTATATTGCTGTTACATAGCTGCTGTGATATTTGTAATGCTATCACTGTACAGTATGTTTATACAGAATGATTTCAGAAACCTTTTCAGGTTTAAATCTCCTATTAATTCAGCTCCCATTTTACAATTCATGGTTTGGGTGACACATTCACATTCACATTCTCAATTGACTACAGGTGTCTGTCAAACAGATGCTGGCTCATTCTGTCCATGAATGAATGTATGAAATTCATCATTCAGTTTATCTTTTAAACTTGCAGAAAGTAACTCAACAGCCATTTAAGAGACTAAATTCTTACCTTACTCCTCGACCAAGGTTTTGTCTCATTCTGAGATGCAGTGGCAGCTGGCTTTGAGTTACCGAACCATTCTGAAGACATTCCTACTCTGTTCAGGTTCACTGCTGGTGTGACCTCTAAATTCTGCTCCACGGCAGCTGAAAGGCAAGCAAGAATAATCAATTTCATACCTAATTTTAAAGTAAAACCTACTATTTACAATTATTATATATATATATTTATTTAATTGTATCAATTATTGGGATTTATGATATTCTAAAGTCACCTTCATCAATAGCCAGCTGAAATGATTCTGGGGTTCTCTCTGGAAGTGGGGGGACAGGTGAGGGGGGACTGCCTGGTAGTATATAAATAATTTCCATTAATTCAATTGTTAATTCAAAAATTGTGTTCGTGCTATAACAGGTTTTAAATATTTGTCTTCAATATAATTATTATTATATATTTGCTCACCTCCCAAGTCCCTGACAGCCTCAGCAGCAGCATTGTGTGGAATGATAACCATTAACCGTTCACAGGGATCTGAGTGCTCTGAATGACAAAATCACAACATGTTATATAACATCTATATCTATATAGTTTATATCCCACACTATCATCTACACTGAGAGCACTAACCTGCATTCTCAGCCAGTATATAGGATTCAGGGGTTCGTTGAGGTAAGGGAGGAGGTGCCTCTTCATTTGTATGAACTTCAATAGTACCTACAAAATGCACATCAGCTTAGAGAAATATCTACAAAATTTAATTCTACAACCCTGCTGTCTGTGTTAGAAGACTAACACATGCACAAATATAAATGTTTACCTGAGGCAGCAGAGTTAAGCTCCAAAGTCTCGCCATTCAGACACACTGAGGGGGTGCTGAAGATGGGGCTATCTGTCCATTGTTTGTCGTCTTTAGCCATTGAGTCCATTGGTGCCTCCTCTGAGGAAGGGGAGCTCATTGGAGTGTCAAAGTAGGGGTCTTCCACCATCAAACAGATGGCTGCTGCCACAGCTGGTGTGGGTGGAGGGTTCAGTAATGGTATGTCGTCACTCTCCTGTATGCTCCCCTCTACTGCAGGGGTTCTCTGGCTGGTATACACCAGTTTGGGTGAGTTCATGGGTCCCTCCTGCAGGTCTTGGGTGGTGGCCATAACCTCAGGAAAGGTCCGTGGTAGATCCCATTGTTGCTGGTCCCAGTGCGTGTCCTTGGCCCTTAAGGCAATGAGATTTTCTGGAGCTGAAGGCAAGGGAGCGTGGTACTGTCGTAAAACATCCCTTTCCTCATCGAGCAGCTGCTGGAGTTGTGGCAGCAAATCCAACTCCTCACTTAGGTCGCTGTGCTCGCTTTCAGTGTCAGGTGTGATAGCAGATGGGACCACTGTCACCTGGCCAGTTTAACAGATCAGTGTGAGTCACAACAGCTTTTGATAAATGAAGAACATTTTCATGTAAATGCCTTAATGCTTGGCAAATATGAAATATGTATGAAAACATTTAGTATCATGGTGTGAGAAATATTATGTATGCAATCACCCAGCCTTCAATTAGATTATTTTCCACTTAGATCATGTGACTGAATTCTGTATTCTAACCGAAACCGCAAGAAAGCCTGCCACAGCTGTTGTTTCTGCTTTGCTGGCTGTGGTGGTTGTGCTTGTCTGTTGGTGTTGGTGGAGCATGTATTTGTACATTTCCAGTATTTTTATGTACTCATTCACAGTAGAGTCATCCTGGTCACTCACCTTATTTCTGCAGGTCTGTGCATCCAAGGACTGGAGATAATTTTCAAAAAGTAACTTGATGGTTCTGTAGACCAGCTCATACTGTTCCTGAGGTTAAACAACAAAAACCTGCTCTGTTAGGCCCTGAGGGCATCAACACAAATCCTCAAAACATATTTTAAAGAGGGAAGCACCTGACATGAAGAATTGCCTGAAATGTGGCTCTGCTTGTTGGAAGATTTTTTACATGTGATGCTTTGTTAAGAGAAGAGGAAACCACAACTATCATACCTTGGTTTGAACAAGCGAGGGCCTCTGGGTTCTCATGTTTTGAACTAAGTCGTAGATGTTGAAATCTGGTGGGATCATCTAAAAAAAAGCACAATACAAATTTGATTTTTACGATTAAATTAATCAGACTTTAGAGAATAATAACAATGTGCAGAAAGTACTGTGGCAGGAATATCTCACATGGTTCTTGAGGAGGTTCCAGGTATAATCAATGACACACAGGGCTCCTGTTCTACCACAGCCGGCACTACAATCACAGCAGCAAAAAGTCAGGAAGTCATATTTCTCTAAGCTGACAAGCTCAGGGAGCTTAGGCACATTTCAATATGATTAGTCAAACAATTGTTAGTTATAAAGGGGCTGAAGAAGGCAGACAACAGATTTTCTAACTCTGTGACATGATTATCTTGATTTTCTGGTACCAATTTAACTGCATTGCCTAAAACACACCCATCTGATAAGCAGGTTTAAACAAACGCTAATAGTCATTTCCAGTTCCTAATTTAACCAGCTTTAAAATGCCTATGTCAGTGAAATTCAGAGATCTAAATAAATAAATAAATAAAAGATGTTTAAGGCTTTGACTCAAAACCTGAAAGTATACTGTTTGGGTTTCCATGAATTTGGTCATTAGTAATGCAATGTGATTATCCTCTATACAGTACCTGTATGAGTATAGTATAATGACATCAATAAACCACAAGGGAAGGATACATTATAAAGTTCTGTTTTAGGAAACAGGAAACAGACGTTGACTCAACTCCTGTTCTTGAGACTGCAAAGAAGTTTGTGAAATTATGCCCTTTTCCTGTGTGTGTTGAGGAAAAAAATCACATTTTGTGGTGGTTTCTGACTGTATTTTTTTCAAACAGCTGTTTAGTGGTGATATCACTCAGAGGTGGAGTGCCTGTCTGCTGTGTAGGTTGGATCTGCCACTGACTCAACATTCCATTTCTGACACGTCATATTCAAAAGACGTGGGCATTTTTCTATGGTATTTTAATAGTTATATAAATATATATGTGTGTGTATATACATATATAAATAAATTTTCAGGTAAACACATACAAAACCAAAAGAAAAATCTGTTGCAGCATTATATGTACTTCAATATATTTTCAAATAACATATATTTATGTAAAATAAAATAAAAAGTAACTGACTAATTTAAAGGTCAGTTTATGGGTCCATCCAACTTGATGTATATTTGTGCACACATAAAATATCCAGTGTCACTGTTTTCCACCGATTCACAGACATAAATATTTTTAAGGCACCCCACTCCAGCTGAGTTTCAGTAAAACAGTAGATGTGGGTTTTATGAGCCAAAATGTAAGCGCTGGAAAAACTGAGGGGAAATGCATACACAAACACTTTAAAACCTAGTGGGTCGTTGGCTACCCACCTACGCACACTTCCTGTCTTAAAGAAAAGGGAGGGGGGAACCTAACCTCTAAGGCCGAAAGCAAGGGACATATACATGTTGCCCACAGGCAATACGTTCCCATAGTAACTAAACAATCAAAACCAAAGGTTTCAATTCAAGTTATTAGACATCAGAACTGAATGTAGAAATGTAATGAATCATTACAGTTCATCTCCTGATACTGCAACAAAGCAAGCCCTGTCCATCCAGTAATTATAATAATCATTGTACACTTAATTTGTAATAGCACATTTCATACAGTACATAAGCTGCAGCTCAAAATGCTTCACACACATTTGCATGAAAATGTTTAAAACAAATAAATGAAAAGATGGTAAACAAATAATTTGGTACAAAACCTGAGTAGAAAATAAAATATTTCAATAAAATAAGTGTGGTAACAAAAAACTACCTTAAAGCAATATTCAAAAATATTAATTTTACTATGTTTTTTTCATGTGTAGGCGGTTACCTCCTAAGTCTGAAGGTACTAAACAATTCCGAGCCCTGTAAATTACTAATGTAATTTTTAAACATGTTTTAAAAGAGAGAGGGAGCCACTGAAACACTGCTAATGTGGTTGTGATGTGCTGCCGTTCATTAGTTTAGTTAAGATTCTGGCAGCTACATTTTGTACAAACTGAAGTCTATTCACTGATTACTTGGGTAGTCCAGTTAAAACAGCACTGCAATAAAGATAAGAGAAGACCAAAAGCATAAATCCATTTCTTTGCATCAGAAAGTCCAAGATATGGTCTGATTTGCTTTATTTCTAAAGGTAAAGAATTTGGTCTTAGTGACAAAGTGACATTTCTGTAAATGTAAGTCATAATCTATAATATATCATACCCACATTTGAAGTTATAATACTCTTCAAGCAAATCAAACTATTTAGACTGTTTGAGATTGTTAGGCGTGACAGATAGATACAGTGGTGTGCTGCATACATAGCTATGAAATTTTACACCCATTTGCAGAGGTGGCAAAAGCACACACATTTTTTACTTAAGTAGAAGTACATATAGGCTACTAGTAGATATTATAAAACTTTAAACACATTTATCAGCATTGACAAGAAACGCTCCTGCAGTTAAATGAGTGTGGAACCTGTCTAAAACCAAACTTGCAGAAAATGCAACTAAATGCCTTTGTCAGTACAGTATGATCAATTGTGTCAAACCGAGGAGGACTAGGAGATACACGTAACCTATATCAGCACTTTTTCTGAGGTCAATTAGGATTTTTACTAAGGCGCTTAATGTTCTATGACCACTGCCAGAATGATATTTTTCATGAATGTTATCACATTATTATTAATGTATATTATATATTAAATAGATTGAATTGTTTATATACTGCAAGCAGGCTAAAACAGGCCTAAAATTATTCATCATAGATCAAGATTATTTTTCTTAAGCAGAATTAAGTTCCATAAGGAATCCTGACCTGCAGTGGATGCAAATGGGGACATCATCATGGACTTGATAGGCGCGCATCTCATTTAACATTTCCAGAATGGGAGGGATGGAATCTGGTACACCGTGATCCGGCCAGTTGACATAGTGCAGCTGTTTCAAAGTTCGGCTACACTGGAAAAAATAAAAGCATAGTAGACAATTATAATGCAAGTCTCTTTCCAGAACACATTTAATTAGGTCATATATCAGATCAAGTCAAACATATTCATCTGGCTTTTTACTATGTCACTGTGATAGCTGAAGAGTTAAATAAATAAAATAATTTAAGTAGACTTTGTGTCTCAAAGATGTCAAATATGACCACATTAGTTTTGAGATTTCAACAACTGCTTCTAGTCTTTGTAGCAGCTAACAACATGCCATCTGATAATCTCTTGGTTGTCTCAGGAGAATTACCTCAACTGTTTTCTCACAGTCAGAGTATAAACACTACTTACATTGCGATAAGTCACCCGTAACGTCCTTGTCAGATAATCTCCTTTATTTTCCTCAGAATCCTGCAAAAAAAACGCCAGCAGTGCATCTTTAAGCTGAGTACTTATTTGTGCTGTTTAAAAAAAGGTAATAGAGATAATGTGAGTTACTTTTGTATTGCGTTAGCAATTGTATAACTCATGTAAGTGTTGCATGACACAGGTGTCCTGTGAAGATAGTGTGAAATTAAGTCAGCATATGTTATGGAACTGTTCTGGGAACCGGTCAAAGTAGGAAGTGTGACTTGTGAGAATAAAAATACTCACACAGTAAACTCTAAAAGGCTCACAAACAAATGGCTGCTCCTGCTTCGGTGGCCAGTAGCGCTCACACTTTTTCTACAAAAAAAATCAAAGAAAGCACAATTTTTTTCACATTTTACTTTTCACACAGTTCTAAACCATCTTACAAACACTGATGAAATACAAACTATACATTTATATGTATGCAGCACAGTTTGACTGTTGAGAAAAAAAAGTAGAATATGGAAATACAAAAAAAAGTAGTTACCTTTCCCATTTCAAACTCGCGACAGGCCATCACTACGATCTAAGGCCAAACATAACAATACAAATTACAATGTACCAAAATATAACATGACCATATCTTTACGTGGGGGTGGGGAGTTCAAAAAGGCCAGTCTATGTAGCCAATCATTTTTGATCACTAAAGCACATTAATAGTTTTTTAGAGAGCAACATTATGTCTTAAAACACCTTGTTGTGTCCACAGATGACAGGTCATACCTTTATGTCGTACTCCCAAAGCATCCTGAAGAAGTCCAGTACTGTGTGAGGCAGAGGACCCTGAGTAGCAATGTAGGCCCTGGAACCTGACACTCCCTGAAGATGAAACGTAGCTTATAGTCAGAGGACGTTGCACAAACCACATTAGTTACACAAATGGAAATATACTTCAGATGCAATTTATGTCAATAAAAAAGATTCTCTTCACAAGGGCACTCTTAATTTACCTTGATGAAACTGGCGTTGATGTAGTCTGTGTCATTTTTAGCTGTGGTGAGAGTGAGCTTTACCCTGCTGTGGTCAACTGAAAGGAAAGGAATATGTATTTATAAAGTTGAATGTTGCACAACTCAGGGGTCTTTGACTATGCTGTACATTTTCACACCCTAATGCATTAGTATTTATTAATACTAGACATGATCCGCACTGTCAAATGTTAAGAAATGTAAGAACATATAGTAATTTCCAAAATTAATCAAATTTCCTTAAATTAAAATTATCCATAAAACAGTTACACTATACTGCATTATCAACCTAGTATACTTTTTTTATTACCTCATAAATATAACATTGCATAATTTTCAGGTCATCTGCATCATAGTGTTTATGTATTTGCATCTAAATATCATGCAGTCCCATGTTACTGTATAGACTCAAGATTGTTTGATCCATCTACGATCATTTTCAGCATTAATGTGTCAGAGGTATGAGTATATAGAAGTCAAAGTTATGGCTTCGTATTATTATATATCTTATCTGACACAATCTTTATTTCTTATTCTAATCTTATGCAGGAATATAAATGACAAACCAAAATTTTCATGAGAATTCTGTGAGCAAAGCTTACAGGGAACAATGTCCTTGTATCGGTTCTTCTTGATGTTATCCTGTTTTTCTGCTGTCTTGGTGGGGTAGGTCTTGTCAGTGCGGTACTTAGTTGACTGGCTTTTCAACCTCTGAAAAACAAGAGAGAAAGAAATGTATTCCTACCACATACCTTTACAAAATATGTGTCAGAGAGGTTAAACTTCAAAACCTTATTTTATGGTGCTGCTGCTGTAATAGATTCCCTCACTCATTATAATTACAAACTGATGTGCACATGTGTATTTAATAAAACATTTTTATAGGGTGTACTGTAGTCTGATGTTTCTTGCTAATGCAGGGATATAGTCAAGTGTACAGTAAAAAAAACTAATTTTGAATTAGCAAAACCAAGTTTTATAATAATTCATTTTCAATGCAAGACAAGTAGTATGAAAATAATATGAGCCTCAACATATTTGGGAATTGTTTCTTTAGGTCAAATGCTTAACTGTATTTATCCCCACCTTACTACTGTGACACAAATCTATGATAGTTGGGGCACACTTGTATTACTAAAATATGTTTTCAGGGGCGCCCGGTTAGCTCAGTGGGTAGAGCTGGCGACCTGTGTACCGAGGCTGAGTCCTTGCTGCAGCGGCCCAGGGTTTGAAT